GGATGGTGGGAATGGTGGGAATGGTGGAAATGGAGTGTTGGGAATGGTGGGAATGTTGGGTTTGGAATGTTGGGGATGTTGGGTTGGGAATGGTGGGAATGGTGGGTCCAGGATGTTAGGAATGTTGGGTTTGGAATGTTGGGGATGTTGGGAATGTTGGGCTGGGAACATTGGGAATGGGGGTTTGGGATGTTGGGAATGTTGGATTTCAAATGGTGGAAATGTTGGGTTGGGAACGTTGGGAATGGTGGGAATGGAATGGTGGGAATGTTGGGAATGGCGGCTGCTGAGCACCGCCGCCAAGCTCCGGAGACACAGTGGGACGCCAGGGAATTCTGGGAATCCCGGGAATTCCGGGAATTCTGGGAGTGGTGGGGATGTGGGAACGTTGGGGATGGTGGGTCCAGGATGTTGGGGATGGTGGGTTGGGAATGTTGGGGGTGTTGGGTTGGGAATGGTGGGAATGTTGGGAATGTTGGGTTTGGGATGTTGGGAATGTTGGGTTTGGGATGTTGGGAATGTTGGGTTTGGGATGTTGGGAATGTTGGGTTTGGGATGTTGGGAATGTTGGATTTCAAATGGTGGAAATGTTGGGTTGGGAACGTTGGGAATGGTGGGAATGGAATGGTGGGAATGTTGGGAATGGCGGCTGCTGAGCACCGCCGCCAAGCTCCGGAGACACAGTGGGACGCCAGGGAATTCTGGGAATCCCGGGAATTCCGGGAATTCTGGGAGTGGTGGGGATGTGGGAACGTTGGGGATGGTGGGTCCAGGATGTTGGGGATGGTGGGTTGGGAATGTTGGGGGTGTTGGGTTGGGAATGGTGGGAACGTTGGGAATGTTGGGTTTGGGATGTTGGGAATGTTGGGTTTGGGATGTTGGGAATGTTGGATTTCAAATGGTGGAAATGTTGGGTTGGGAACGTTGGGAATGGTGGGAATGGTGGGAATTGAGTGTTGGGAATGTTGGGAATGTTGGGAATGGCGGCTGCTGAGTGCCGCCGCCAAGCTCCGGAGACACGGTGGGACGCCGGGGAATCCCGGGAATTCTGGGAATTCCGGGAATTCTGGGAGTGGTGGGGATGTGGGAATGGTGGGGATGGTGGGTCCAGGATGTTGAGAATGTTGGGTGTGGGATGGTGGGAATGTTGGGAATGGTGGAAATGGAGTGTTGGGAATGGTGGGAATGTTGGGTTTGGAATGTTGGGGATGTTGGGTTGGGAATGGTGGGAATGGTGGGTCCAGGATGTTAGGAATGTTGGGTTTGGAATGTTGGGGATGTTGGGAATGTTGGGCTGGGAACATTGGGAATGGTGGGAATGGTGGGAATGGTGGGGCTGGAGTGTTGGGAATGTTGGGAATGGCGGCTGCTGAGCGCCACCGCCGAGCTCCGGAGACACGGTGGGACACCGGGGAATCCTGGGAATCCCGAGAATCCCGGGAATTCTGGGAGTGGTGGGGATGTGGGATTGGTGGGAATGGTGGGTCCAGGATGTTGGGAATGTTGGGTTTGGAATGTTGGGGATGTTGGGTTGGGAACGTTTGGAATGGTGGGTCTGGAACGGTGCGAATGGTGAGAATGGAGTGTTGGGAGTGTTGGGAATGTTGGGAATATTGGGAATGGCGGCTGCTGAGCGCCGCCACCGAGCTCCAGAGACACGGTGGGACGCCGGGGATGGAAGGGATCCCGGGAATTCCGGGAATTCTGGGAGTGGTGGGGATGTGGGAACGTTGGGGATGGTGGGGATGGTGGGTCCAGGATGTTGGGAATGGTGGGTGTGGGATGGTGGGAACGTTGGGAATGGTGGGAATGGTGGGAATTGAGTGTTGGGAATGTTGGGAATGTTGGGAATGGCAGCGGCTGAGAGTGTTTGGGACGCCGGGGAATCCCGAGAATCCTGGGAATTCCAGGAATTCTGGGAGTGGTGGGGATGTGGGAACGTTGGGGATGGTGGGGATGGTGGGTCCAGGATGTTGGGAATGTTGGGTTTGGAATGTTTGGGATGTTGGGTTGGGAATGGTGGGAACGTTGGGAATGTTGGGTTTGGGATGTTGGGAATGTTGGGAATGTTGGGAATGGAGGCTGCTGAGCGCCGCCGCCGAGCTCCGGAGACACGGTGGGACGCCGGGGAATCCTGGGAATCCTGGGAATCCTGGGATGATGGAAAGGGAATGGTGGGAATGGAATGTGGGGATTGGTGGGAATGTTGGGATGCTGAGTCGGGAATGTCGGCAATGTCGGGATGGTGCCAATGGAATGTTGGGAATGCCGGGATGGAGAGCAGGAGCGGCCCCAGGGAGGAGCCACCGTGCGGCTCGGGGTGGTCCCACCGTGGGATCCCGGCCATTCCCACCGTGAGATCCTGGCCATTCCCACCGTGAGATCCTGGCCATTCCCACCAGGAGATCCCGGCCATTCCCACCGTGAGATCCCGGCCATTCCCACCGTGGGATCCCGGCCATTCCCACCGCAAGATCCCGGCCATTCCCACCGTGGCATCCTGAACGTTCCCACCAGGAGATCCTGGCCATTCCCACCAACTCCCCGCTCAGCATCTCCCCATTCCCACCTCCAGGAATGTCACCCCTGGAGCTCCACCCTCCATCCGCCCATCCCATGACCTCCTCCGGGAGCCCCATTCCGGAGAAACCCCGGAGAACTTCGTGCCAAGAACATCTCCAAACCTCACGGGTGGGGTGGAGAGGACAAATCCCCAAGTCCGGGATGAGAATTCCGACCTTTTCCCAGGATTCAAGACCTGCGTCCTCACCAACACCTGGGTGGACGACACCTCCTGGCGCTCCCTGACGGCCGCGCTCCAGGAGCGGCTCCGGCGCCACTTCGACCTGGTGCTGGAATCCTGCCGGATCGGGATGGCCAAGCCGGAGCCCGGCGTCTTCTCCTACGCCCTGGAGGCGCTGCAGACGCGGCCGCAGGAGGTGAGGCCATCCCAGAAAAAAACTGGGAATGGGGGGTTGGACATGCCCCAGATCCTGGGATGTTCTGAGGGTTGGGAAGCCTTGGGAGATGCCACCACAATCCCAAAAAAACCTGGGAATGGGGGGTTGGACATGCCCCAGATCCTGGGATGTTCCCAGGGTTGGGAAGCCTTGGGAGATGCCACCACAATCCCAAAAAACTGGGATTTTCCGTCCCCCAGATCCTGGGATGTTCCCAGAGTTGGGAAGCCCTGGGAGATGCCACCACAATCCCAAAAAAACCTGGGAATGGGGGGTTGGACATGCCCCAGATCCTGGGATGTTCCCAGAGTTGGGAAGCCTTGGGAGATGCCACCAGAATCCCAAAAAAAACCTGGGAATGGGGGGTTGGACATGCCCCAGATCCTGGGACGTTCCCAAGGTTGGGAAGCCCTGGGAGATGCCACCACAATCCCAAAAAAACCTGGGAATGGGGGGTTGGACATGCCCCAGATCCTGGGGTGTTCCCAGGGATGTAAAGCCTTGGGAGATGCCACCACAATCCCAAAACCCCAGAAAATTAGGAATTCTCCATCCCCCAGATCCTTGGATGTTCTGAGGGTTAGGAAGCCCCAGGAAATGCCACCACATCCCAAAAAAACCTGGGAATGGGGGATTGTCCATCCCTCGGATCTTCGGATGTTCCGAGGGATTTGAAGCCCTGGTAGATGCCACCACAATCCCAAAAACCCCAGAAAATCTGGAATTTTCCAATCCCACAAATCCGTGGTTGAATCCTCAGATGTTCCCGGGAATGCGAAGCCCCAGGAGATGCCACCACAATCCCAGAATTCCCGGGAACGGGGGATTTTTCCCGCCCTTGGATCCGAGCCTGAGCCGTTCCCGGGTTTTTGGTGCTTTTCCAGGTGATTTTCCTGGATGAGCTGGAGGAGAACCTGGAGCCGGCGCGGGAGCTGGGGATGGCCACGATCCTGGTGCGGGACACGGAATCCGCCCTCCGGGACCTGCAGGAGCTCTGCGGGATCCAGGTACGGGGAAAAACCCCTGGAATTCCCGGTTCCGCCATCCTGGGATCCCGGCGGGATCCCGTGGAATTCCATGGAGATGATTCTGGCAGCTGCTGGGCCAGGAGGAGGAGCTGCCGAGGCCGATCGCGCCGGACGAGGTCGCGCACGGATACGTCAACATCCGCGTACGGAAAAACGGGAATGGGGACCGGGATCCGCCGGGAATGCGGGCTGGGATCTTCTGGGAATGACGGCTGGGATCTTCTGGGATCTCGGAAGGGGTGGGAATCAAGGCTGGGATCTTCTGGGAATGCGGGCTGGGATCTTCTGGGAATGCGGGATGGGATCTTCTGGGAATGCGGGCTGGGATCTTCTGGGAATGCGGGATGGGATCTTCTGGGATCTCGGAAGGGGTGGGAATCAAGGCTGGGATCTTCTGGGAATGCGGGCTGGGATCTTCTGGGAATGCGGGATGGGATCTTCTGGGATCTCGGAAGGGGTGGGAATCAAGGCTGGGATCTTCTGCGACCTGGGAATCTGGGCTGGGATCTTCTGGGATCTGGGAAGGGATTTTCTGGGATTTAGGAATGGCTGGGATCTTCTGGGAGTTCAGGCTGGGACCTTCTGGGAATGGCTGGGATCTTCTGGGAATTCAGGCTGGGATTCCAGGCTGGGATCTTCTGGGATCTTCTGGGATCTGGGAATGGCTGGCATCTTGTGGGAATGGCTGGAATTCCAGGCTGGGATCTTCTGGGATCTGAGAATCCAGGCTGGGATCTTCCGGGATCTGGGAATGGGTGGGATTTCAGGCCTGGATCTTCTGGGAATGGCTGGGATCTGGGAATGGCTGGGAAATCTGGGCTGGGATCTTCTGGGAATGGCTGGGATTCCAGGCTGGGATCTTCTGGGATCTGGGAATCCAGGCTGGGATCTTCAGGGGCCTGGGAATGGGTGGGAATCCAGGCTGGGATCTGGAAATGGCTGGGATCTTCTGGGAATGGCTGGGATTCCAGGCTGGGATCTTCTGGGAGTGGGTGGAATTCCAGGCTGGGATCTTTTGGCATCTTCTGGGATCTGGGAATGGCTGGCATCTTGTGGGAATGGCTGGAATTCAAGGCTGGGATCTTCCAGGATCTGAAAATGGGTGGGATTTCAGCCCTGGATCTTCTGGGAATGGGTGGGATCTGGGAATGGCTGGAAATCTGGGCTGGGATCTTCTGGGATCTTCTGGGAATGGGTGGGATTCCAGGCTGGGATTTTCTGGGATCTGGGAATCCGGGCTGGGATCTTCAGGGGCCTGGGAATGGCTGAAGTCTTGGGAATGTGTGGAATTCCAGGCTTGGAATCTTCTGGGATCTGGGAATGGCTGGGATCTTCTGGGAATGGGTGGGAATCCACCTGGGATCTTCTGGGATGTGGAAATGGCTGGGATCTGGGAATCTGGGCCGGGGTCTTCTGGGATCTTCTGGGAATGAGTGGGAATCCAGCCAGGACCCTGGAATGGGTGGAATTCCAGGTTGGAATCTTCCAGAATCTGGGAATGGGTGGAATTCCAGGCTGGGATCTGGGGTTGGTTGGAATTCCAGGCTGGGATCTTGGGAATGAGTGGGATTCCAGGCTTGGAGTCTTGGGAATGGGTTGGATTCCAGGCTGGAACCTTCCAGAATCTGGGAACGGGTGGAATTCCAGGCCTGGATCTTCTGGGATCTGGGAATGGCTGGGATTCCAGGCCCATTCATTCCCGGTTTTCCGGGCTCCGTGCGGAATTCCCGTTGCTTTTCCCTCCTTTCCCAGCTGGGTGTGCGACTGCACTTTGCGGAGCTGGGCTCTGGAATTCCAGGTGCTGAGTTCCGGAATTCCAGGCTGGGAAAAGCTCCAGAATTCCAGGCCGGGAAGGTCTCTGGGTCCCGGAATTCCAGGCTGGAACGGGCAATAGGCTCTGGAATTCCGGATGCTGAGTTCCAGAATTTTTGGCTCTGAGTTCTGGAATTCCAGGCCAAGAAAAGCTCCAGAATTCCAGCCGGGAAGGGCTCTGGGCTCTGGAATTTTGGGTGCTGGATTCCCAAATTTTGGGTGAAAAGCTCCAGAATTCCAGGCCAGGAAGGGCTCTGGGTTCCAGAATTCCAGGCAGGAAGTGCTCTGGGCTCTGGAATTCCAGGCCTGGAAAAGCTCCAGAATTCCAGGCCAGGAAGGGCTCCGGGATTTGGAATTTCAGGTTCTGAGTTCTGGAATTCCAGGATGGGAGAAGCTCCAGAATTCCAGGCGGGAAGGGCTCTGGGCTCTGGAATTCCAGGCTCTGAGTTCCGGAATTCCGGGTTCTGTGCTCTGGAATTTTGGGTGCTGATCTCCGGAATTTTGGGTGCTGAGTTCCAGAATTCCAGTCTGGGAAAAGCCCAAGAATTCCAGGCCAGGAAGGTCTCTGGGTCCCGGAATTCCAGGCTGGAATGGGCAATAGGCTCTGGAATTCCGGATGCTGAGTTCCAGAATTTTGGGCTCTGAGTTCTGGAATTCCAGGCCAAGAAAAGCTCCAGAATTCCAGCTGGGAAGGGCTCTGGGCTCTGGAATTTTGGGTGCTGGATTCCCAAATTTTGGGTGCTGAGTTCCAGAATTCCAGGCTGGGAAGAGCTCTGTGTTCCGGAATTCCAGGCCGGGAAAAGCTCCAGAATTCCAGGCTGGAACGGGCAATCAGCTCTGGAATTCCGGGTGCTGGGTTCCTGAATTCTGGGCTCTGAGTTCCAGAATTCCAGGCCTGGAAAAGCTCAGGAATTCCAACCAGGAAAGTCTCTGCCGTCTGGAATTCCAGGTGGGAAGGTCTCTGGGTCCCAGAATTCCAGGCTGGAATGGGCAGTAGGCTCTGGAATTCTGGGTGCTGGGTTCCGGAATTTTGGGCTCTGGGCTCCGGAATTCCACGCCTGGAAAAGCTCAGGAATTCCAGGC